CTTGAACACTTCTCTCAGTGAATATATAGGAAAAATCTTGTGGATTAATAATAAATTTCATCTGTTTACAAGATGAACATGTTCTCATTCATTTAGGCAGCATCTTGTATCATATTCTCTGATAATGTCTATGTGGATTTCCATTAAATTTGTCAGAAATTCTTCCTAAAAATAAATACAATTTAACCAATTTTGAGTTGAAGGGAAATAGAGACTCCCTTTAGTCCCAATAGTGATGCACTAGCATTTAACACATTTGCTCTTGTTAATGGAATCATTCTATACTGTTATGCTGTGTTTCTCCATCTAGTTCATAGTACCCTCTGTTGTCATACTAGGCATTATCCTTTATGGAATTCTATTTTATATTTTAGTATTAAACCATTGATTGTGGGTTTTATATTTCTGTGTTCTAGAATTTGCCCAGCATTTAACATACTTGTGTTTTATGTCCACTTCAGTATCAATATTACTGTTAATGTGAATGCTTATCTTCATCCTTGTAATGAGCCATTGATGTTTGGGTTTTCTTCAGAGTTTCTTATGCTCCACTACATTTTCTTGGGTTGTTTTCATCAAAGAACTACACTTTTATTACTTGATCTGACCAGGGTCCTTTTTCTCTGGGAATCGTATGTATGCTGGAAGATAGAAGCCATTTACCACTAATTCACTACTTGTGAGCACTAAGAGGATCAGGGGCATCTGAGGAACTCTCTTTCCTTAGGTGATAAGCAAAGTCAAGTCGAAGAAAACCTGGCCAACTGACAGCATGAGTGCAGTCTGCCATTTTCTTCCTAGCAGTGTCATACATCATGAGAGACACGATGACATTGCAATCGTTCTTCATCCTGTAGTGTCCTCCTTACATGTTGCACATTCAAGATTCTTATTATAAAACACTGGAAAATTCTCAAGCTTCATAACTACTCTAAAATGCTACATTACCTAACTATCGTCCCTTGGCTCCAACACAGGTAATGTTTCCTTTCCTGGAACCCTGTGTATCTTGTCTGTGGTATAACTTTTCAAACTGCCATGAAATACCTATGTAATCTGCTTGTCTATTTCCTTCATCTCTCCAAGGTAAAAGACATTTCCTTTAAGCATAAATTTCCAGGATATTACACTGTGTATTCTCTCAGTAAATTCTTGTTGAATGAATAAACAACTGCATGAAAGAATAGATAATTGAGTGACTATCAATATACTGTGCTACAGAGAAAGGCATCTAGATGGAAAGAAAAACAGCTAGTTGGCTAATTCTAATTTAATCTGTACAAGAGATTGGAACTCAAAATAAAAGCAGCTATTGATTTTTTCAGTTATGCCTCATTCTGGTGATGGCCTGCTTTATTGTTGGTATGCTAAAAATGTTTAAAATTCACTGTTGGGTTAATTGTGGACAAAAGCTCTGCTTCTTTAAAGAAAGCACCTTTTGCAAATCTATTGATGCAGAAGATTTGATAAGAAAATATGACCGATTACCCAAAACTTATATATTGATAAATCTTCTGACACAGACTCTCCATTAACTGAGGAGAAAGTTTTAGGTCATTACCAAGTTATTTTTAGAGACTGGGGAACAAAGGATGTTGCATCTAATGAATATGTAAATTCAAAGACAGCTAAGGTTGGGAAACTTCCCAAACACTAGGATAGTCATAGTCATAGGATAGTCTCAGAGTACTTTAATGCAGTATTAGGCTTTACATTGGTAGGGTATTTGTTTTGTATTTGACTTTTGCCTTGTTTGTTTTGGTATGCAGACAATAAAAAATTGTTATTAAGTACCAGTGTAGAGCTATTCCCAATCTGGGTTGTTTGCACTTTGTGTCCTTATTTCCAGGGTAAGTTCCACTCACTGGAAATTCATATTACAAAACATATATAACAACAACAACAACAACATTTAACAATAAAATAAGAGGACATGAGCCTTGCTTGGAGGCATTGGGAGGGTCCCAGAAGAATTAGAGAGGGGGAGCAGGGATGGATATAGTCAAGGTATATACCTTCATGAAATTTGATAAATAAATAAAATATTCTTAATTTACTTATTTATTATTATTGTATGAATGTATGATATGTACAGGGGTGGACACACACATACATGCCACAGCAATGTGGACACACACACACACATGGCGCTCAGAGGACAACTTCATGGAGTTGGTTCTCTCCTTCACTTTATGTGCATTTTGAAGATCAAATTCAAGTTGTCTTGCTTGTGCAGGAGGATGAACCAGATCACCAGTGTACAATTAGTCTTTAATAAAAAAGTGACATCTACAAACATTAAAATAAACCCAACAACAGTGGTATAAAAGATACTGTAATGTTGAAACCAATATTATAAACATTATGGAACTAAATACATAAGCCACCGGGATTTTAAAGATGAGGTATGATATCTTAAAATATTGTGGAGTTTTTGATGGAATCTGTTATTGATGGAACTTTACCAATTCACCTATTTAAAAAGCCTAGTAAAGACTTAGCTAGAAGGGAAATTTCCAAAGTTTTGGAATATATTTGTTCTCAGAAGACATATTGGACTTTTGTGCTTCAGTAACTGTATCCTTGCTGGTTTTCCTATGTGGAAAACCTTCCCCCCTTCCCTTGCTAACTTTTTCCTTTGTTCCTTCGCCCCTACTTTGCAGCCTTCCCTTCTTTCCTGCCACAGACCCTTAAGAATGTCCACTCTACCTCTGTTCTAGAAGGCCTAAGGATGTGCCTAAAGGGACCCTTCACATACAGAGAAAAGGAGAGCCATAAAACACCAAACAAACATCAATCAGAGTGAACACATTCCTCATTATGTATGTAACACTAGGAAGAACACTTTCCATATATAATTGTCATATATCATGTCTGAATTTTGTTTGCTTGTTTTAGACAGGCTCTCACTCTGATGCCCTGGCTGGTCCAAAACTCATAGAGATCTATCTGCCTCTGTTTACTGTTGCTGGGATTAAAGACATGCACCATCTCACCTAACCAACTCTGAGAAGTTTTGCCAACACTTAACCTTCCTTGCCTTCTTCTCACACAAGCAATTCTACTTAATTCCATGTCATACAATAAAAGGCAGGAGTTAACTCAAGCTTGTTTGATTCTGACTTCTAACTTTAAATGTCATGCACTGCCTAGCTTGATCCACAGATTTTGAGATCCAGCTTCAGTGTCCCATCTGAGTCTTACTTTCTTCTCTGATGAATCTTGCCTTAAAGTACAATTATGTTCTCCACAAACTGTGTTCCCAGATTCTTTATTAACAAGCATTTTATTGACAGATTCACATACACACACACACATATATACAAACACCCCCCCACACACCCCTACATATATCTTAATTACAGTAGGATGAAAAATATAATATTCCTAAAAAGGTGACACCTTTGATCCATGTTGGTCTGACTCTTTCCTTGAACAGCAGTCTGGATAGGTATGGTAGAATAAGGGTCCTTGTGGCAAAATAACACAATACCTTGGATGCTCAAAGTATTAATTTGTTTTGTTTGCCTAAGAAAGAATGCAATGGTAGCCTTCAAATTAATTTTTGAACAATCAGAAGTAAAGATTTCTTAAATTATTAAGTTCCATTCTTATTTTGGAATGAGGAGATCTGAGTACATTCATTGGTCAAACATTCCTACATGACCACAGTGGGCTAGAAATATGTTTGGGAAGTCCCACAATACAGTTCTTGGCCAGTGCCCACCATGCTTGCTGTGCTCTAAACTTCACTCACACATTCCACTTGCATAGCCATGTACATAATTTTGCTAACATTGCTTCCATCTCTTTAAGTTTTTAAATTTCTATATAGCTACATATTAGTTACTATTTAAAAAGGAATTTTTAAGATAAAGATAGAAGTTGTAAGTAAAATTCAAAGCTATCAAGATGATGCCAATACAATATGAGTAATAATACAATATTTATTTAACTTTATTTTATTGACTTTACTTGTGCTGGTTAAGGATGAAAGACCAATAGTAGTATGCCTTATTACCATACAAATAGGAAAGTACATTCCAGGGTTGCTCCCACTAATGACACACATATTTTATCTTCTCCAACTAGTTTAGGTTGGTCTCTTCTAACCAAAATAGATGCCTAGTGCTGCCATACCTTCTCATCTTATAGAAGAGGTTTTGTGTAAATAGCAATACAGTACTACCTGTGGTAATTACAATTCAGAAAAAAGTCTTTATTAATTTAAATTTCCCAGTTCTTAGAATAGGGTTTGAGGTCAAATTTACCTTGTTTATTGCGGGCTGTTTATACAAAGACTTTCTGGTAAATATACTAACTAAATTGTGGTAGAATAATTGCTTACTGGACATATTTTAGAGCCATGAATCCCTAATATGGTAAATGCACTCTAAGCAAAAGCTAGGGACTGCTTAGGTGGTTATTTTGACATAAAAAGTACAAATCATATTTATCTATTCTTTGAGCCAAGACTTTTGGACAGTATCTGTTTATTGTATTTCAGTTGGCAATATTTATTTGAAAAACGATAAGATACTGTTGCTGTGATATGCATTGTTTCACTCTAATATTTTATCACCTTGGACAGCTCTCCTTTCTACCAGCTTGCATATGGCTCAATTTAGTTGAGTAAGTGCAAAAGGAGAGGTCACAGGAGTAAATCTCAATTAGAACTAAAGTTCTAATACACACATCCATTACATTTCTTTAAAAACACTTTATAATGTCAGGGTTGGCAGCAAGTCAATAAATGTCCAAGCATGATAAATAACAGGGTAATTACCTCTGAGAAATAAACAATATCAAGTTAGTTCAGTTTTACTCAATATGGTAACAGAAAAATCATTGTAGCTAGCTTTGTTAATGTTTCCTTAGGAGTTTTTTGATATCTCGAGATATGGAGATAAATGTCTCACCACTATTCATTATAGAGAAATCATTCACTATGGTCCAGAAAATAGCCCCTATAGCTTTTGAATAGTAAAGTCATGTCCTACCTGGGTTACTTTCTCTGTCACATTGTGTGTTCGTTCTTTGACCTTGGGTGCAATAATAGTTTTATCTGAAGAAGGAGGAGATGTATTCTTTTTTTCAGTTTTGACATCTGAAAAGTTCAGAGTGAGCTGAGGAATCTTGTTGATGGTGCTGTATTTGTTGAGGTTTGAATCCGACGTGGACCCCAGCAGACTTGACTTGATATGATTAAAAGGCCCTAGAAAAAATGGAAAGTATTTGTAAAATAGTATCAGAAGAAATAGGAAAAAAAGAAGATGGTCTTTAATGCCTGGCTAATGATCCATGACTGGTGTGATTCCCGTGACTAAGTGCAGTCAGTTTATTTGTGAACATCTTTTGCCACAAAGAAGGACATATGAGAATCAAAGAGAAAATTTTGGTACTAGAAGTGCAAATGTCAACTTCTGCTATGAACTGGCTTCTTTTATTAAAGGCTGGGAAAAAGAAAAACAAAACAAACAAAAAACCACTCATGCCCTGCTACTGGCTGGATTCTATCTTACATGTTCTCCGTAGACTTTGTTTCCTATTCTGGGGTTAACCTAGGGAAGCGCTGGCCAAGTTAAAATCATGTTGGTCTTGAAATTTATGAATGTTTTGTTTACACAGCTCTTATTTGAGTTACTCTCTTCAACATGTCACTGAGGAGTGACAAACCAGTTGTTTTCTTTAAGTCTGCTACTGCCTATATGAGATGATCCATGGAGTTTCTATAAGATTCATGAGTAGATGAAGTTGAAGATGACCAAGTGTTTTGTTTGTTTTTGTGTGTATGTGTGTTTGTGCACTCATGTTCTCTCATTCGGTTGAAATCTTCAGGATTCTTTTTGGGATCTTGAAGTCTTTGTTTTTGTGTTATTTTCAGTTCCATTAAAAAAAGAAAAGAAAAATCCTTTAACCAAACTCCACAAAGTTGTTGCTATGGCAAACACAACTTAAAGTAGACATAACCATAGTCAGGAAACAGATCATGTCTAGGTTGGAAGCTCCCAAACATTCTGTTCTTACAAACACAACTGGGAAGAGGCCAAACTCCTCGGTTCCCTTAGTGAAGATGAGGAGCCTGAGCAATACCATCTTCTTTAGGGACGAATCTATTATCTGCTATTCATGATGTCAAAAAATGGTCTGGAGTTCTTATGTGATGCATTCATTACATACTCCATGATGGCTCTTAAAACTTGGTGTCATGAAGAACTGCTTAAAATTCCTGAGAGCAGGAGTGTTACACAGTATATTTTTGACTGAGAATGTGTGTGTGTGTGTGTGTGTGTGTGTGTGTGTGTAAGACTCCCTTTTTGTTGCTCCTGCCCACGTTGTTATCTGATCTTGCTCTAACACCACCATCCTCGGGTGCCTCCAATTGGTTGGTGTTCTAGCAATCAGGTCTTGGGTGTCTCCAATTGGTACCTGAAGTAATCAGGTCTCAGGGTTATCAAGGGATAGAAAGAAGTGATCCTAGGGTTTTATCCTCTCCTGGGCAGGGCAGACATTCCTTGGTGCCCACTATATTATACCTGGACTGAAATACCTGATCAAGTGTTACAAGAGTCATAAAATTAAAACTTGACTCATAGAAAAGTGGTGGTTGTAGGATAGGGAATAAAATATGTTATTATACTCTTTTTAAAAAAATATAATAAAAAATATGTGTGTAATGGTGCACTACTTTAGTCCCAGCACTTGGGTGGCAGAGGCAGGTGGATCTCTTTGAGTTGGAGGACAGTCTGGTCTGTATAATGAGTTCAGTGCAGACAGGGCTACATAGTTGCTTCTGCTCATATTGTTGTCTAATATGAGCTCTACCACCACCATCCTCTGGTGTCTCCAATTAGTGCTCCAGCCCTGGTGCCCGAAGTTTTTAAAAAGTTAAAAAGCATAATAAAAATGTATTTCAGATGGGGTTTTCCTGTTTTGTATATTCTTTGCCTCAATTTTAGGCACATTTGTTAAAATTTGTAACACATGCTAGGACTTTGAACTTCTTGGACACTAATATCTTCCTCCTCACTGAAATTCTATGTTTTCTTTCCCTGGATAATTCATCCAAACCTAGGGATATGAGTAAGATACATAGGTGGTAACATTCAGGCATATAGTGAAGCTATATTAGAATCATTCTAGTCTACCTTTTGAATTTATGTCAAGACCACCCTTCTTTATATTGTATTTCTGTTGGAAATTGTCTACACAGATGATCTAGGATGTTAATAGGCAGGCAAAATATGTTAGTATAGTTTTATTGCCCCTATGGCTATTTCTAATCAGTCCATAGAATTAGCTATAGCTATGGCCACAGGTTCTGAAATATTACCCCCAAGGGACATTTGTCAGGGTGCCTTTGGGTTGTCATAATGATGGAAAATTTTGAATACCACAGTTCTTATTCTCACTTTGACAACCTGTTGCACATATTTCAAGGCATATTCATATGGTAAAAATGCTTGAAATGATCTGAATCTCTAATGTGTCCCCAGTAAAGCAGCATAATATACTTTATAGGGTTGCTGTAATATTAAATTTCTAGAGCTACACCTGTCATGAACATGGCAGATCATATACTGCTTTAATGTCCTCATATAGTTGTGGTAGAGTATTCATTATTTTGGAACATTATGTTATCTAGAATTTCAATTTTGTAGCATTTAAGTGGTCAATACAAAATCTTAGAATTCTAGTGACACGATACATCTGACATGATAAGAATGTGAAATAAGGGATTTGAGACTTTTTTGATAACTGAAAGCAAATAATAACTTTCCAAGTAGCTACTGGAGTTACACTGAAGTATAAATATGCCTTTAAAATATTTTACATCATTATCCCTTTCTAATTAACTCTCTCTCTGTCTCTCTGTCTCTGTCTCTCTGTCTCTGTCTCTCTATCTCTGTCTCTCTGTCTCTATCTCTCTGTCTCTCTGTCTCTCTCTCTCTGTCTCTCTCTCTCTCTCTCTCTCTCTCTGTCTCTCTCTCTCTGTCTCTCTGTCTCTGTCTCTGTCTCTCTGTCTCTCTGTCTCTCTATCTCTGTCTCTCTGTCTCTATCTCTCTGTCTCTCTGTCTCTCTCTCTCTGTCTCTCTCTCTCTCTCTCTCTCTCTCTCTCTCTCTCTCTCTCTCTCTCTCTCTCTCTCTCTCTCTCTCTCTCTCTCTCTCTGTGTGTGTGTGTGTGTGTGTGTGTGTTACGATTACTAGTGAGCACATGTAGAGGCCATAGGACAACTGTGAGGTTTCTTCTTCTAATGTGAGGGAATCAAACTCCCATCAGCACTTCTGAGTAGTAAGAGTTTTTACCTGATAATTCATCTCGCCAGCACCATTCATTCTTAACAAAGCATGTGGTTTGCAAGCAAGTTTTTCAATGTGAAGATACCTTAACATTTGGTAATGTGTCTGTCTTCTGGGCAAATCAGTTATCACATTTTATCATATAGGGAAGTACTATGAAAGAATGCTTAAAGGGAAGGACTTATGAGAATATCATACTTCCTAATTTCCCTTCCATGTTTTCTTGGTTTATTATTATTCTGAGTATTTGACACACATCTAGAAATTTGGTAAATCCCAATTTATTATCATTGAGTATGACTGCTCTCCCACTTTACTATTTTTACATGGAGTGTTCAGTCATGTCCTTAGTTTCTTGAAAGACAAGTTTTTCTAATGTGATTATATGTTCTCAGTATATTTATATTTAAACACTAGCATAATAATATGCATATTGTCTGATTATAAACTGCCTTGCCTTCATGAGACCTTCATATTAAAGTTAGAGGATCATGCTATTTTTTTTAGAATGTTTAACTGTCTCTCAATTCCATTGCAGGAAAGTCAAATGAGTAAAACAAAATACTTGCTGAGGAAAGGATTATTTAAGGTAAAGCTGAGAAACTCTTTGATAAAATGTCTTACTCAGATGTACCTCTGAATCTGTAACATCCTTACAGTCCTTATTTTAGCATCTCTAGTTAATGTGGAAAAAAATATCTCCTACATAGTCATTTCATTCAATTTGTTTTAGACATTTAGTCTGAAAGAGTTAATGAAGACTTTCTTTTGAATGAATATATTTAATTAATTTCAGCATAACAGTATATTTAAAATAATTTATGTAATGTCACTAAGATAAGGTATCTCAACCTGTTTTTCCTGTATAACAAAAAAAGAGTTCTTTCTCTTGACTTTGAATGAAGTATTTACACATAGAAGCCTTTTGGATTCTGCAAACTATAGTCCTTACAGATGTCTCTGAAGTCTATATAAATTCCAATGGGATAAATTCCTTTAAGGCAGGCTTTGTAATGTTCTTCACCAGTAATGTTTTTCACCAGTTTTAAACTGAGTTGACAGAATATGAGGCCAAAGGGGTATGAGTCAAAGACCAGAAATCAAAGTACAAGATGTCCTACCTCCTAGTTCTACATTCAGAGAGGCCATGGCTGAGGACTTAGAGTTGATAGGCAGCCTCACTGACAATGATCATGAACAGATGGGATTTGGGATTCTAATGAAAGAAAGGAGATTAGCCTGAAAAAAAAAGTAAATGGATTTAAAGAGAAAGAGCAGGCAGAAATAAAGGGACATGATAGATTCAGTTGAAGGGAATGTAAGACTCAGAAGTGGACTGGGGAGACTGACGTTCTTTGAGGGACAGTTTCGAGAGGGATAACAATGTGAGTATGCCAGTGTGTGACTAGAAAACAGAAAGTGGGTAACTAGTTAGACTATAGCCACAACTGGGTAAAGTTTAGTACAAGCACCTGATGAAATTATAAAATAAGCTATGTTTTCCAACTATGCATAGAGATTCAGCAATAACTAAGAAAAATTTTAGATTTTAAAAATACTTAAATTGTATATGATGAAACTAAGTTCATCAGAAATAAGAAAATGCTTTATTTATTATTGTTGTCAGTGGTGTGTGTGTGTGTGTGTGTGTGTGTGTGTGTGTGTGTGTGTGTGTGTGTGTGTGATATTTGTATTTATGGGAACAAATGTCAAGGAATATGCATATGGACATCATAGAACGATTTCATGGAATTGGTTCTCTCTTTACACAGTTTACATGGTTTGTTGGGATCAAACTCATGTTGTCAGGCTTGCACTTTCTGGCAGCAAGGACCTTTTCTTTGCTATCTTGTTGGACATGTACAGTATCTCTTAGGATATTGAGTTTATTTTGTTAAATGTAATGAAGCACATTACTAGTGCATATTAACATTAGTGAAAATGCCAATGTAGCATTAGCAAGGAAGCTTTGCCAAGGAACCCCATGAATAAGCATCAGCCAGAAAGTGTTGTAGCACTCAGAAAAAGTCATAAAACACACTCCTCAAGTTATTTGGATTCAGTATCTATAAATTCTATTCCACTGTGTGACATATAATTTGCCAGACAAATTGTCACCACTAAGAATCAATTTGTAAATCCTGGTAAGATCATAGGTGCCTGGGTAAAGGCCAATACGACTTAGTAGAAACAAGTTCTGTCAGATCTCCCCCCCACCCACTCTGTGTGTGTGTGTGTGTGTGTGTGTGTGTGTGTGTGTGTGTGTGTGTGTGTGTGTGTGTGACTGATAGGTTTCCTGGCTTCAGTGGATGTGGTTACTCTTAACAATCTTAAGAGCAGTTTGATTTCTGATTCATGATAGTGTCATGCACTAATTGGAAAGTGCTAAACATGAAATAGAAATCCTAGGTCTTAGGAAACAATATAGGGGCACAACTTAATCATGGTCTTATTAAATAGGATGAGAGGAGTAAATGTTGTATATGATTTAGAATGCAGAACACATGAACAAACCACTTGATGTGAGGTGATTTGTGAGTGACTGAATTAACATTAGAAACCCTCACATTCTTATTATTCTAGAAATATTGCCTCAAATTATATTATCTACACAGGTGATGCCATTTGTTAGAAGTAGCTTTCCTCCTTCTCACATAGGGGTTACAGTTTCTAAAAATGACAAGTAACTGTAGTTTAAGGTGTCAGAGTGCTAAAGAAAGTTATTGAAGGGAAACAGAATTGATCTGAAAAAAAAAAGTTGGGTGGAAATTATTTAGTGTTGGGAGAAAAGGCTGACTGCTAGTTTACTGTCTTCTGTTGGTGTGATTTTATGCTTAGAGTTCTTAAAGTCAGAGAATATATCCCTGTCCACTGTGGACAGATGGAAGGAGGAAGGATTTAAGCTAATGCTGGTTCTCTGTGGAATGGGAACTAAAACAGACTTCCCAAGATAGCTCACAGATGGCCTTTTCTGAAAATAAAGACGGTTGTACTCCTTGTGCAAAGGAATTAGGCAGCACATGAGCTTTAAGGGAATCACTCAGGCAATCCTGCAAATCCTTTGTATGTATTACCAGGTTATTTATGCTGTTTTGTAGGGAAGTGAGTTTTGGTCAAAGTGGTTGATCCTGAATTGTAATGATACATTATGTATTCAAAGCAGTGTAGAAATGTATTTTCTTTTATTTACTATCTTATTTATTATGACTTAGAGTCAGTATTGATTTATTTTACCAGCACACTTGATGGATCATCCTGTATCTATTTGTAGTTTTATGAAAATGGCAATTGAAAAACTGATGTGCATTTGAAATATATGCACACACATAAAACAAAAACAAGCTTCAACCTGGCAACTGGGATTTCTATTATGAAATAGAAGGAATAAGGTTAAAGTTTGGTTTAGTGGAATAGTTAATGAAATTAAAATAAAATGACTTTATTTTTGACAAATAGATGAATTGGTGGTAGACTCTTCCTTCCTCTCTTTCTTCCTTTCTCTCCTCTCTATCTTTGGGTGCTAAGGATCTGATTAGGGTTCACACATACAGGTGTTCTACCCCTGAATTATGTCCTCATCACTGGACCACTAGTTTAGGGGATAAGCCAGCCTTATTTCTCCCTACTTCAAACAAACTAGATTCATTTCTCATTTTGATTTAAAAAACTCACTAGAAAATGAATGTCTACTCATTTATTCATCATAAGCATTAGTATTTCCAAGGACCAGTAGGCAGCAGATCTTTATATTTGCTCTGAGGATTCATTCTGAATTGTCAAGTAAAACCTCCCCCCACAACTAGAATTAGTTTTCTCCCTTTTAAGAGTCACAATGGACAGACCAAGTATGGAATAACCATGTGGATAAAACCCTATCTCACTATAGGGGGTCTCCTGCAGACCTTTCTTAAAGTGCTTACAAAATGATAGGAAAGGCAAAGGAACCATTCTCCTGATTTTGTTCATCTACAAATTATCCCTGGATTCTGATCACATAACATCTATAGTCTCTAGTACTTCTCTCATTTATCAGCAACAGCAATTCTGAATTAATTAGGGAAGCAATTAAGAAGTCAATACACAAAACTGCACAGTGGTCTGAGTACCAGTGATGTAAAGAAGAGGCCAAGACAGTAAGGTCTGAGGAATGATGGTTACTGGTGGAGACATGTTCATGCAACAAACATTCACAAGATGGATCACTGTCACCATTTACACACCCACAGCAGCATTGGAGGCACAAGATCAAGCCAAAAGTTTTGATCCTTGCATCTACTGTGATAGCCAAAACAGAATTGGATTTAAATTGTTAGCCAAATTCAAATTTATCCAGAATATCTCCCAATTAAACATTACCCTGTGGTAGCTATAAACCATGCCAGTGATTAGAATAATATAGAATAAATTGAAAATGATTGAAATATAATAGAGGAAAAGTAGGAAATGACTCTCATGCAAGAACAGTATACTACTACAGTAAGCTTAAAACCATACCCCCTGCCATCCAGGAACGTGAAACTAGTTTTAAGGAAACAAAAGAGGAACAAGTGAAGTGATGCTGTCATAGAGCTCTTTGATCATTTTATTTAATCTTGTACTCAAGAAAAAAAAAAAAAACAAAGTCCCTGAAACAGCTTATGTGCTTCTTTTACACTGGAATATATTCATCTTGATACTTGTTTCTTTCCAGATATTTATGAAGTGTTCACCGTCAATCTTACATCCTTTTGTTCAGGATAAAAAGGTGTTCATCATCACTTTGATGGCACAGCAGAGAAAGTAATCATGTCTCCAGCAAAATCAAGCCATGATGTCTCCACCAGGCACCTGGACTAGCTGAGGGCAGCATGGAGATGTGGCATCAACAGGGCATACAGCAGGCAAGTTAACATGCCAAGTAAAGGGCACTTTAAGCATCAGATGGTGAATCTGAGTTTATACTTTACCTTTGACATTGCGACCATTGTCTGTTTTGAGCATATAAGGATAAAAGAGAGAGAAATATAAAAAAGAAGACTAAAATTATGTTAAGCACAGCAAACTAGCTTAGTAGAAACAATCAGAGAAACCAGGATGTATATACGGAAAATGTAATTTTGATTGAGGTTAATATAAATCATTAGCTAGGCAAAGTGCACAAAGTAAAAGTATCAGCTATAATAAACATTGGAAATAAGTGAAATATTCACATCACTTAATTTAAACAAATTGTAAGTAACAGATTTTATAATTACAGCATTTGGGGAAAAGTTCTGCACAGTTGCTGGCAATTGTGGTAATACACAACCTCATCAAAAGCCAATTTTGATTTTTCCTCAGCTGTAGCTTGTAACTAACCAAAGGAAAATCACACAATATTTTGCACTTAAAGTTATTTTTCCCTTGTACTTAAACCTTAGCATATTAGTATGGAAAAAAATGTCCAGTACAATGGATTACTAAATATATGAATTATTTAAAACACTTTTATTATTTGCTCCTTTACCATCAACTGTTCTTTACCATATCTTAAAAATACCAGTGTTTAATGAGTCCTTCTTAGGCAAATATAACTGTAACATATCACTAAACACTTGATTGTATAAAAAAATTTTACATTTTTGCTATTCAGCATAAAACCTAGAATATTTATAAATTTGTTCATTTTAAAGCAGGGTGTTTTCAAATCTTGGCATAGAGTGTTTTCAGATTTATTTTGAGAGTAGAAATCTAAATGTTTCCTACGTGGTACTAAAAATATGTATTAATATGTGTTACCAGCTTTGAAATACACACACTTAAAATAAGAAACCATTCATAAATATGCAGGATTTGAGAAATGGATACATTTGTTGCCATCTATCTTATCACTATGCATATTCAAAATCTTGGGATTGAACATAATTGTTTCCAAGCTTATATTGAGAGTAATTCCAATACTATGGTTGATGGAATTGTTAGAGAAGACATTGCCTTGGACAATATTATCTCCATAAAATGTGACTAGCAGTGGCAACTTTCTCTTCTGTTTTAACAAATCATTTTTTTGAAAGGACCACCAGTCAATTCTAAGTTTACTTAGAAATAATTTCACCAGAGGATTCTATAGTCATTAGCAAAGTAGTAACTGCTTTGCAAGTAGTTAGAAAAAAATACAGATGGGGCTGGAGTTTAGCTTTGAAGGAGAGCACTTTTAGTATTTATGCAGCCCTGGGTTTGATCCCAAACACTACTGAAAACTGCTAATATAATGCTTGCTGTAAAGCACATACACATATGCACACGCATACACAGGCAAGCACACTCACATTTGAGTACACACACACATACTCACACTCACATGCAAGTGCATACAACGCACACACACACACACACACACACACACACACACACACACACACACACACACACTCAATAAGCCCAGATCCTATAAAGACAAATGGTAACAAAGCTAGCATAGAATTAGTGAAGCTTTGACACTGAAGAATGAGAAGCTTTGAGACAGAAATGAGTTGATAGTTCTTTGTTATTTATTCTATGCTCATCAGCGGTTTTATTTAATTAATTGATTGATCTTTAGCTAGGTTTTTTCTGAAGTTAAAGTACAAAATGCCCTATATATTTAGTAGTCTGAAGTCACATATCAACAGTGCCATGTATAGTACCAGCAATATGAAGTGCATACTGTTTAGACACCTTTGTAGTATTATGGCAGACTAATTTCATGTCTTTTGAATATAAAAATAAACTAGATGAAATTTATATTTTCTATGTGGATTTTTTACTTTCTTTTTATAATACTACATTTTTACTAAATTTTCACAATATTAACTTGGAACAAATCACAAAAAAGACTCACAGTTGTCTGTAATATGTGCCTTAGGAAGGAAAATTCCAAGGTACTTTACAATAGACATAAATAAGAAGATTCTGTAAAATACCATCTACTAATATGTTTATAAAATATTTACAGTACTCTAAAGATAGAGTATGTAAGAACATGCTACTGTGTGGAATGAGAACATCTCAAGTCCAACTCTGGTGCATTTAGGATTTTATATCGTAATCATTTTCAAGGCTTCATATAACTAAAACCAGCTGTGAAGGTTTCCATCTATTTTTACTTATGCTCAGTTTCCCAAATATATATAATTATATGGCTCCAGGAATTGTAGTTTCTTTAAAGACATCAGTGATTTTCAGGAAAGATCATTTCATGGTTGAAGTACTGTGGTTGAATGACCTGTGAGTTTATCAGTTTGCAGCACACACTGATTTTGGTATTGGTAGGAGAGTGAAACTTTGCTGAAAAGTTCCTAGCCCAAAGAGGGAAGGCAAACTGATAATGATAATATCTTAAAGCATATATATATATATATATATATATATATATATATATATATATAGATAGTTCCTGTCCTGAGAAATCTAAAAAATATCATCACCCTTTCCTATAATTGTATTAGTAACTGTGTGCTATTTGAAGGCCACCTGAGAGGAAAACAACAAACATGAGTTATAAAACTTGATATGTAATACTGAGCTGTTTCTTAGAAACACAGGTGAAGCATGCAGGATGTGGTGAGTCAAAGATGTTTGATTTTCTAAGTAATTATCATAAGCTCAGTCTCCTATGAGAAAGCTCTAGAGTATGTTTGCTAAAAATGAATATACTAACTGATAAGAGACAAACTAAAGCATATGCTGTTTATTTGAAACACTACTGAATTTATTGTAATTTATCCACAGGACTCATTGTCCAAACATCCAGTTATACCGGTTTCATTCAGTCAGAAAATATTGAACCCACCATTTCTAGGTGGTCTGGAGCATAGTTATCTAGCTTGGGAATTGTCTTTGATTTTATTTTTCCTTGGAGTTTCCTCAGAGCTAGATTAAAGCAGATGTACTAATTGCTCTAGTAATGTAGTTTCTCCAGTTTGTCTTTTCCAAACTAGCCTTTCTATTCTGAGATAGTTTCTGGTTTTTATCTCACTTTGAATTCTTTTCTCATGCCCCCACCAATTTTTCTTTCAGCTCTTCTGTCTTTTCTATTTCACTCTGCTCTTTAGGAAGACACCCCATGATTCAATACTAAGGTTTTGGGTTAAATAAGTATATGTTGCAGAAGGATCTCATATCTCCATGATTATGATATTGGAAAATGACTCCTATACACAATCCTCTCAATGACAAGGCAATGGTATTGAGTATCTGTCATAAGTAGAATACTGGACTGGGTGCTAAGTCTGCAGAACTACAGGCACTAAAGTGCTGGTCAAGGGTGGCTCATAACATCTTATTTGTTTTCACTTATGGCTATACTCGATCTGTATCTGCATATCTCTCCATGTGTGTACATATAATACATGCATATATGACTATGTCTGTATATGTTGGTAATTACAGAATGTAATCGGTGCTAAAATATGTATTATTTTTGAAAACTCAGGTTTCATTTCATTCAGGAAATTATTTGATTCCTCTGGTTTGGGAAAGGGGAAACCAGGGCCTGCAGCTTAGTAATAGTATGAACAGGGAACAAACAGCTAAGCTAAGATAGAGTAAAGTACGACAGGAGGAAAATGCATGGCATGGTTTTGTGAATTAGCAAATTATCTTAGTGTTAGCTGTCTCCAAAGGAGGGAGCTAAAACTGAGTCTTAAAAAGTAGCTTTGTTCATTGGGTATAATGGTTAGGATGCCATAGTAAAGAACCTCATGAGCAGTCTTACATTTTTGAAAAGATAGCTGACAACAGCATAGGTGGCAAAACCACTTGAAGGAATGAGGATCTGGGAAAGGGTTGGAGAAGTGTGTCTGAGCATCTGACTCTTGGATTTCCTGGACTTAGTGAAGTCTCCTGAGTAGTAGGAGGGTAATTGTTGCAGGGAGGCAGTACCTTGCCCCATGGTAGTTGTTTATTTACCTGTAAAGGGAGTTTAAAACTAGTTCCTAACCAGTGAGAGTTGGTTTGAGATTTAAATGTGTGTCAAACATTTACACTGCCTCAGGCATACCAACTACTCAAACAGAGTTATCCATTATCATGCTAAAGATGGATTGTTTCTGGTTTTCAAACCAGAAACACCTTTAACTCTGGATAATTTAGGAATGTGAGCCAAGAGGCTAGAGAGAAAATAAATTCTGACTCTACTTTCCAAGTTGCTCAGTGAGTTTCTCCACAAACCTATTCTTTTCTTCTCAGCTATCTCCCACTACTGATGGACAATAACATAGTCTTGTGAGGGCACACTGTTCTTTCTTCAGGGTATGACCAACTGCTAAACCCAACAAAATTAATTATGCTTAAGATGATAGAATTCATCACCTAATTACATCTTAAATTAAGCATTAATTAATTAACACACCAGGAAGCAGGCTGATAATGGTTATAGTATTTCAGAAACACTGATAAAGAAGCCAGAAGAAACCAAATTACTCACTGGGGTTCAAAGAGGAAATGAGAAAAAAAAATCCTTAATGCAAGATTGGTGTTTTTAATAGCTTTTAATCACATTTCTTCTTTGAAGAAACTGATTGCTGTTCAATTTTGAAATAATGTGAAAATAAACTCCCATTACCCAATTAAAAAATGTTGCCATGTTAAAAAAAAATTACATACCTTCACTGGCGTGTCGATCTCTAAATATGTTCTTGGGGTGGACACTGAAGCCTTCTATATCGTGAACGGAGGATGCCCTCCGTATGCTGCAGAGGCTTTCCCTGGATCTGGAGTGCGTCAGTTGGGAACTTGACTGCAGCATGTCAGGGTAGAGGCGGTCCCATTGCCTTTTGGGAGAGGAATGGTCCAGAGGTCCAGATATGTTCACTAAGGGAGAACACTGGCTAGGCTGTATCAAGGCTTTCGTATCATCTGCCTCAGAAGGACTGCAACTTTCTTTCGTGGGAGACTTAAAGTGTTTCATGGCCACAGAGTCATCACTGTGTTTAGATGAATCAATAACTACCACATCCGGGTCTTCCTGTGGCAAGGACTGCTTTCTATATGTTAGCACTCTTAGCCCGGGAAATTTGAAACCAAAGAGTTTCCCTACAAAGGAAGACAGAAAAGAATATTCTCACACGATGAATATATACTTTAAAAGTAATAAACACAATCAACTCATATTTAAATACCATATGAAAGAACTGCTGTTTTAATATTACTAATACTATTAAATAGCCAAGTGTATTTAATTAATTCTGCCTTAATGGGAAATAAGGTAAAAAGTTTACTGAGAGGAATATGGAGTACATCTACCTATGTAAATATATATCTTGCTTTTGACAATTACAAAACACCTCAATGAATTGAAAACCTTACTTACATGACAAAATGCTTCAGTATTCAATAGATTAAAAATGTGTATTCAGTAAGTACCCACAATTTATATAGCAAAAGAAAGAACCAATGTCTCATGTCAAGGGACACACACAGGAATGATCAGGTATATAAGGAGTGGTAAAAGTATTGATAGTACTAGAGAAGGACATGAGTTTGAAGTGGGCTTGATATGCTTTTAGTTTTGTCTTTAATAGTGTTCTAAGTTCAGCTTGGGATTTGCTGTATAGCAAAAGCTTCTTGATGCATATGGTAGTCTTGAAAAGGTATATGCTGCCAAAACAGATGTAAAGATAAGATGCATCTATTAATTAATTAATGTGACATGTGATGTCAGATACTGCACTTATATCAGAGTGGATGATGCACTGAAAAGTCATCTAAATATAAACATTAAGGAGTGAATATTAAACTTCTAAATAATAGGTAAATAAACAATATTAAGGAGTCCAGTATTAAAACATTAAATAAAGTTATTAGTAGTGGAGTTGTAAATTAAAACAGAAAGAAATTATCATTTCTCCCTTCAATTTAGCAGGATATAGGGGGCTGGAGAACACTACACTTATTTTGATGTTCATACCTTTTTCATCTTACTGCTTTCCTTCAGTTGAATTAATGGTTCAACTGATTCCTTGCCATAGAATGCTGGTCACTTTTCATATTCTCAGCAGTGTTGTTCTTCTCCCAAAGACAATGAGTTTTATGTTGTAAAACATTGGATAAAGTAGACTATTTTCACTTCTCCCCATAAGTTCTTACTTAGAGAGTGAAGACACAGAATCTCTACTCTGGTCTTTAATTCTCTTCTAGGGCCTCTAGAATCCAGCCATGATGACTTTTTTATTTCTTTGGAAATCCCTGTTTCTGTCAGATTCAGGACTCCATTCTGTTAGATCTTTTCTTCTGTCTACTTAGTTTATCCTTTAGGTTATAACCCAGAAGAGTTTCCTCAGAGAGGCTTTTCCTTCCCTCTGAACCAGGTTGGCATTTCTTCACAGTTTTTACTACATAAGATAGTAATAGACGACTCTTCCTTCCCTTTCCACCGACCGATTGGCAACTAGGTGAGTGACCCCCTGCTCTTACCCAACTCCTGTCCAAAGCGCCATTCACTCAGATCTCCCCAGGCTTGTGCTTGCTTGGAGTAGACACTTCCAGGCAGGGAGGAGCTCTTTGAATCTGGGTACAGGTTACTCTTCCTTCCCTTTCCGCCAACTGATCGCAACGAGGTGAGTGATCCTCTGCTCTTACCCAACTCCCTTCCAAAGCCCCATCCACTCCAATCTCCCCAGGCCTGATCCTACTTGGGGTAGACCTGCCCAGGCAGTGAGGAACTCCCAGAGCCTGGAAACACCCCACTCTTACTTCCTGTCCTGCCCCCACACACCTGACCCCTATGGAGGCCTAACTCCTTCAGAGTGAGGAGACTACCAGGAGAAGCAAGACTGTCCAGAGCTGCTCACATTGAATTCCTGCCCACACACACTACTGGGTAACAAGAAGAGATAGAGGGACCCCCTCCTGCACTCACTGGAAAAAATATGGGAAGAAGACAGAATAAGAACTCGCTCAACCAATATGACACCACCAGAATCTAGGGACTCCACTCCAGCAAGATCTGAAAAGCCCAACACAGTGCATGAAGAAGAGATGGACCTCAAAAATCATCTCAGCAAGATGTTACAGACCTTTAAAGAGGAAACAAGAAAATCCCTTTAAAAAATAGAAGAAAAAGCAAGCAAAAAATTACAC